TGCTTTTCTCTCACCTGGAATAATTTTTCTTTACTGTGTTTTGTAGAACTTGGTAAGACCTTAGTGATTGTTTCGTGAACAATAGTTGTATGTAATTAAATAATTTTGGAAAACTGTAGGCAAAATTAAGCAATTTTCTCATGTAGAAATAAGGTAATCCATACTCTAAATTCCCAAAAGGGTGCTGTGGTGAATTTTCTGAACTTCCTGGTTAACAAATGTACTTTATTGTTGTTTGTTGGTCTTTTCCTGGGACTAACATTCCACAGAACATTCTTTGGGAAAGGCTAGTCCAGAAAGTGGCTTCTCACACTTAACAAACTTACGACCTGTAAAATATTGACTTAGGTTACTTTTATTATAAAGTTACATAAATATGCACAATCATAAAACTAGATATAAACTCCACTGCTTATAGCCCTTATATAAGCAACTATAAAACCAAATCAATTTGCCAAATAAACATAAGCAAAACCAATAAAATTCAAATTGACTACATTAAGTTAATGTGACATGTAACACTGTTTTGTTGAAGCAAAATCGCCAATGCGGGGTTTATTGATAAAAACATAACATCTTATTAACTTGGTTCTTTTGATTTTGTGTACAATGGCCTTGCTTTTGAATCGTTATCATATCATGGCTGATTCTTTTCTTCTTTTTTTTTTTTAAAGGAGCTCACTAACAAGATTTATTTGGAGATGGGTCAACCAACGGAAGGGTGCACCTCTCCCCAATAAAATACTATATTCTTTAAAATCCTTTTAAGCGAAAAATGACTTATGGCATATTGCTGTATTTTCTACTGAACTGTAGCAAGTTGGTCTGAACAAAGAATACAAGGAAAACACTTAAAATATTAATACTGTACAACTGCTGTGTTCTCTGATCTGCACAGATTCTTTCAAGTTTGACATTTCTATTCTTCTCTATCACACAGTAGTGGTGACGATTCTCCCAGCACTTTTGCTTTCTTGCACCAGTGTAAAACCTTCCTTTATAGATGACCCTGGGATATTATTTGGCCTTCGCTTGGCAGGGATATGCTCATAAACAGGCCCAGTCAGACACCAAAACTAGGAGGCCATCATCTGTTTTTAAGATAATCTTCTAGGGCTGGCTGAGTGGCGCGTTGGTTAGGAGTTGGCTTGGGACTCCAGCTCTGAGCAGCAGGGCCCTGGTTCAGATCCCACATGAGGGCCAGTGACGCTGTGTCCTCTACAGCTAAGATGGTGAACAACAGCTTGACCTGGAGCTGGGCTGCCGTGAGTTGCCAGCGACGGTGTAGGCTGCAGTGGGGCTGCAGTGGGCTGCTGTAAGCTACCATGAGTGGCCAGCAGCCGGCGTGAGCTGCCAAGAGCTGCCTTGAGTGACCATCCAGTGGCCGGCAACTGATCTGCCTCACCCGGGAAGAGCACAATGATAATACCAACATGGGCCAGTGAAGCGACGTCCTCCACAACTAGACTTAAAAACAAAAGGACAGCAACTTGTCTGTTCCCCTCCCCCAATTCCCCAGTAAAATCTTTAAAAAAAAAGATAATCATCTATCAGTCAGAAAATGTTTATATTATTTTTAAGAGATTATTATAAACATGGAACAGATAACTGGAAACCAGAGATTTGAAGGCCGCTGAAATGCCCACGGCGCTCTTTGCAAATAGTGGGCAGCCTGTCTTCCCTGTATGGGGATGGAGAGAAAACTCCGTGGTTAAAGTCTCCAGCCCCCACTTTTCTCTCCTGTGGTTTCTCTCTTCTCCCCTCAAACACAACAGGAGAGGAGCTGGCTATCAGCTATTATTTCACATTCATTCACACCAATGTGCTGCCTCCATTTGCAGTTTTAAGGCTTTCCGTAGATTATTGTGGAAAGAAAGACTTCCCCCCTCACTGAAGGGAATTCAAACTCAGGCTTTCTGGACTGAAGAAGGATACTGGATTTGATCTGGGGATGGAGAAGACATATAGGAGTGATTTTCTCCTTAGAAGTTAAGCTATATTTAGGGACGAAATCTAACCTGATACTAATCTAATCTGAAATTTAACTTGCACTCACAGATTGAGGCAGTGTGACCTGGAGAAAGCTGTCCCTGCATTAATCTGCCTCATGACACCCTCCAGTCCCTCCTTCACAGTGTTGCCCTCTGTCCCTTCCCCTGTACCATAGATGGCTCCAGCCTGGAGCTCTCCTCCTGACTGCCTTTGTTCTTTCTGAGGCCTATCAATCCTCTCCACCTCCACCCCAACCTCTCCACCCAAAGAGGGAGAAATTACTCTAGGACCCCTTTGCTGCAGGGCTGGGAGGCGGTGGGCTGGCATGGAAAAGAGAGGAAGGGACCCTCGTCTCAGGAGAAGCTCAAATACTGAGAAGTAAGACCCATTACTTGGGTGATAATCAAGATCTAAGATTTTGAAGATTTTAAAACACAGAACATGGCCTCCAGGTCCACAGTGATGCTCTTGAGCTGTGAAAATGGTGGACAATGCTAATCAGCTAAACAGGAACATGTCCTAAGGATTTTCTCTGGGTAGTAATCTCACTCAGAGATCAGGAAACTGGATTTCCTGATCTGGATAGCTCTCAATGGCCTACAATCCACTGAAGTCAGGCGTGGAAGGGTTCTTGCATTTTTTTGAAGAAGAGGCAGGGAGGAAAGATGACCATCAACTGGGCTTCAGAGCCTGCAACTCCTAATTCTGCATGCCCCTAATTCTTTCTGTAATGTCCATTCTTTCTCCTTCTCATTTTTCTTTTATAACTTTTTTTTCTCATTCCTTCAACAAATATTGATAAAGGCCCTTTTATGTGATAGGCTCTCTGCTAAGTACTTTGGGGTCAAAGGTGAAAGACTAGTCCCTGCCCTCAAAGAACTTTCAGTCTCAAGGAGGAAATAAACAATAAACTCTAAAAAGGAAGTAAACAAATAATTGCAATATGATCATCCCTTAACTTGCACAGGGCCTGTGCAGCCATCTACATTTTCTTTCTTGTTTATTTTCTATGCTGATTTCCACCGAGCAAGGCCCACCCACCCTGGCCTGCTAAGATTCTGCCTTTACCTAACTTTTTGCAGAGAAGGACATTCAGTATATATGATTTTGATAATGAAGATATAGACCTTTATTTAAGGATAACTGATCTATCTAAGATTGCAAGCTCTTTGTGCAGGGGCTGTGTCTAATTGTGCATTTGTACAGCAGTCAATGCACTGGGAAAGTGCCGTAAGTGCCAAGAAAGTGTAGTGACACTCCCCTGCTGCCACCTGGGCCTTATTTACACTAAGTTAGGCTCAGAATAGATAGTGCAACTGAGAAATCATTTACCACGCTCAGCTCTAAAACAAAATCCTGCCACCCAACACACACGTAGGCACACAAAACTCCACACTCACCATGCACTCATATTCATATATACGCTCCCTCAGGGCCTCCATCTCTGCTAGTCCAGTGCTGACATTTATTCAGGTTTTGTTTCTTTATACCCAACCCAAAGCTACCATGAGATCCCAAAGTAAATCATACCTACAGGTTTTCTTGAGAATGGAGTAAAGTGGCCATGATTGGAAAGGGTTTTTCTCCTGGATGACAAAAGCATGTGCTGCAACAATGAACCCAACGGTGTAGAGTTAGGCGTTCATGAAGGGGGACGTGATCATTAGCTTGTCAGTGACTGGTCCTCAACTATTTATGAACACCTGTGTGTCAGGCACAATTCAAGGCTCTGGGGGATCACCAGTAACAGGAGAAATACATTCTCTGCCCTAGAGGAGGCAACATCCTAGCATGGAGAGTACAGTTAACGCCTAAACAAAACAATAAAATCATGTCAGGCATGAGGAAGGGCTAGAAAATACACATATGATATGGGGATGTGATGGAGGCACCGCTTCCCTTAGGGTGGCCAGGGGTGGCCCCTCAGAGGAGGTCACATTTGAGATGAGGAGGTACTACTGAAAACGAGAAAGGGGTGGCCATGCCAAGGTCTAGAGCAGGGGTTGGCAAACTTTTGAGACGGAAGAGCCGCCAGGGGTCAGCAAACTGCGGCTCGCGAGCCACATGCGGCTCTTTGGGTACGTACATGGGGCTCTGAAGTAACACTGACAATGAAAATAAAACTATCATAGTTTCATTTGTAAAATGTTTAAAGAGTATTATTCACATAGTGGTGATTACGTAAAAATATATTTATGGCTCTCGAATAATTTTTAAGTTGTGAGGGACAGGATTGGCTTTTCCAGGGGTTGGCAAACTTTGAGATGGAACGTACCCAAAGAACTGCATGTGGCTCGTGAGCCACAGTTTGCGGACCCCTGGTCTAGGGGAAGAGCATTTTGGACAGAAAGGATGGCACAGGCTCTGAGAGAAGACTTTGGTGTCCTCAGAGACAGAGGGAAGGCCAGGGTGGCCAGTGACATGAGGGGAGTGAGGGGCGTGTAGTGGATGAGAAGGCCAGCAAGTGTGGCAGAGTTGACCAGGCAGTGCCTGGTAGACCACAGCAAGGCATTTGGATTTGACTGTGTACACAAAGAAAAAACCACTCGAGGGATTTAAGCAAGGGGGTTGACATGGTCTGCTCTGCTTTTCTGAATGACCACTATGGAGGATGGACTACAGGGGCCAGAGTGAACTTGAGACCAGGTAAGAGGCTGTGGCTGTAATCTAGGTGTAGAGAGGCTGATGTGTTCTAGCAACAGTGGAGATGGAACAAGTGTTAGCTTTGAGGTCTGTTTTGCAGTAGAGCCAAAGGGTTTATTAAAGACCAAGATGTGGGGATTGAGTGAAAGAAAGGGATCCAATTGGGCTCCGAGAGCAACTAGGGAGATGGTGGTACCATGGCTGAGGTGAGGGAGGCTGGTGGGGGGGAATGTATTTGGGACTGGAGAACCAATAGCTCTATTTTGCCGTGTTAGGTGTGAGATACCTGTTAGATTTCCAAGTGGAGTAAACAGGTAGACACTCAGTCTGGATCTCAGGGAAGAGACCCAGGTTGGAATGTACGAGTCATCGACATGTAGATGGCACATAAAGCCATGTTTGTTCACCTTAGTCTGCTTCGTAGCTTCAGACAGTACCTTTACCTAACACCCTCCATCCCAGCTCTCAGACAAGCATGTGTCCATTGGCAAAAGAAAGTAAAGTAAAAGACTGGGCAGAAAGGTAAAAATCTGCCATTCTAAAGGAGCAACTTCAGGCACATGCTTAAGATGTCAGATCGCAAGGGCTCTACCACCAAACCCCTTATTTTATCAATGGAGAGCTTGGCGTGCAGAGAAGTGCAATGACCATTGATGTCACAAGGCAGGCACATACTCAGCAGAGCCAGAGCCGGGACCCATGTGTGCTGGCTCCCATCACAGTGTCCTCTCAACATTCCCACAGGCAGCCCCTTTAAGATGACCTGATGGTGTGAGTGTCAGTAGGATTCGAGCGAGGTCAGGTACATGTATATTCCACAAATGAATTTAAAATTAAAATTGGAATCCACGTTTGAGGTTTGCAGTCTTTATCACTGAAGAGTGAGTGAGAGTTCTAGATATGGCACAGAACAAACAGGACTGAGAGTTTTAAAAACAAGAATGCCTTCTGAGAACCACTCTGTTCATATCTGTCTCCATGGCTCTTCTGAGCCCCATTTATCATCAGCGAACTTGGTCATCAGCGAAGGCCAAAGGGGCACCTAGCTCTCAGGTGCTCTGGAGAGCCTGCATCAGCCCACTGTGACTATGGCAACCGAAAGGGAAGGTACCACTTGTGTCCTGCAAAGCGCCACTAGAGGGCTGCAGAGACTAGCAATGACAGGTAGTGACGGCCTGGGAAACCTGAATGGGAGACCCAGCCCCATCGTTTAGAAGCTCAACTCTCCCTTCAGGCTGAGGAAATTGGAGCTTCAGAAAGATTAAGTGGCGGTCCCAAGGCCACCCAGCTGGTTGGTGGCAAAGTCACAATTACATCCCAGGTCCTCTGATTCAGACTTCCATGTGCTATAATGGCAAGCAGTGGATTTTAGAGTCAAGATCCCCTCTTGGGCAGCATCTCATTTTGTGTAGCTGGTCAAATTTCCTAACTTGTCTGAACCTCGGTATTCTCGTCTGTTTTATGGGTGACAGTGCTTCTGCCATGCCACGTTATCATGCTATGTTGGGAAGTTAGCATAGCTGAGAGGCCTGGCATTTAGTAACACCCATCAAATGCCCAGGCCTTGCCCCCTTTCTGCTGAGGTCCTGCTTCCTCTCTGAGCTAGCGTAGCCTCCTGAGGCAACGAACACAAATGATCCTGTCTGGTTACAACACTCGGCTGCATGTACAGGAAGGGCACTGTATATCAGTAAAACAAACAAACAAACAAAACCACAGGAAGTGTCTATATCTAACTCAACGAGGCAGCAGGGGAAAGAAAATGGCTTCTTTGCCACCACCCTAGGCTTTGGATGCCCAGGGTCTGTTCGCCCCCAGCCAGTGGATGTTTACCTGTAAGGGACAAAAGAGCATGCTGGGTAGTGGGAGGACCCGCAGGAATCCTGCCCTCAGCAATAACCCCCGCTCTGCCCCAGGCACACTGCCTTGGGCCCTTGACTTCTCTTGTCTGGTTTCTTCTCACAAGGGTCCTTATATCAGGCCTCATTAGCTTGATTTTCCACAGGAAGAAGCTGAGACTCGGAGAACTTGAATACCTTGTCCTAGTTCTCCCAGCAAGGAAGTGGCAATGCTACAGTTTCATCAGCTCTGCCGGCGCTTTCCCTGGGTCCCCCGCCTCCGTTTTCTTTGAGGTGCCTAGAGGTAAAAAAAAAAAAAAAAAAAAAAAAAGTGAGAATGTGGGAAGCGCCATGAAAGGAAGGCTCCTGGGAGTTCCAAAGGGCGTGGCTGCTCCCGGCTGAGGGGATCCGAAAGGGCTTTTGTGGGGGCGGGGAGCTCCAAGTGCTTGGTCGGAGGTGGAAAAAGAAAGAAGGAATTCCTGACGCGTCTGTCTGTGTGGTAAACCTGATGTATCAAAACATGGTGTATTTGGGGTATAAGAGGGAGGACCACACACACACACACACACACACACACACACACACACACACACACACAGGCTGGTTGAATTCCGTGAAAGAATTCTTCCTGGAAGGAAGTGGAGGTCAAAGGCTGAAGAGAAAAATCTCAAGTTGGAGTTTAACACCAGTATGCCTCACCACCCTTGTGCCTCACCACCAGCTTGCCCAGGAAATGCATTGCATGTTGAGTTGTTCCATTAAAAAGAATAACAATAGCCCTGATGGGAGTGTCTCCCCCAAGATAAACAACAACAGAAAGGCTCTGGGAACTTCCAACACAGCCAAGGGATGACCTGACCTAACTGGTGGGAGAAGATCAGAGGCCAGAGAATCCCAGCTCCCTTCCGCCGCGCCAGGCCTGGCCAACCGCCACTTTAAGATGCCAGCCTGGTGGCCACGTGCGGCAGCTGTAAGGCCACCCCCACACCGGCTGGCATGTGAGCCATCGTGAGTACCTTCTGAACATGACCTTCCAGATGCTCTTGCAAAGCAGTTCCCGAAATAGCCGGGCACCTGAGAATAACCCTTCCATCTAGAAACCACCGCTCCTCCAATGGGCAGGGAGAAATCATCATTAGAATCATTCATTCATCCAACAGAGCTGAGCCTCCAGCTAGGAGCCAAATGTAGTTCTAGGCCCTGGCTGCACAGTGGAATCACCTGGGAACTTTTAAAAATACCAACGCTGGGGCTCCACCCAAAACCAATTAAATAAAAATATCTGGGAGTGGAGCCCAGGCCTTGGTATTCTTTAAAAGCTCTCTGGGTGATTCTTATGTGGTTGAGAACCACTGAATTAGATATTCTATACAACAGAAAAACGTAATCACTGACCAGGCCTCCAGGACCTCACAGTTCCACAGAGCCCCACAGTGTGCACGGTGTTTTTTCCAGCCGGTGACCTTGGTTGCCCTTCACAAGCAGCCTGGGAGGGGTATTGTTATTGCCCGTTTCGCAGATGAGACAGCTGAGGCTCAGAGGGAGGAGATGGCTGCCCAATGTCACACGGCAGGTTAGCAGCAGAGCGGGCACAGAAACCAGGTTTTCTGGTTCCAGGACTCCTGTCCTCATGTCACAGAGGAATTGGACTTGAAAAGAGATTCAGGGCACATCCTAACTGCACCACGGCAGGGGGGGTCAAGAGCCAAAGGAACAAATGGGGGACAGTCCTAGATGGACCTACTTGTCCTAAGGAATGTCCACCGTCCACCAACCACCAACCGACGTCCATCCATGTTCCTGAAACGGTGCCTATTTGATCAACTGCTTGTTTATTTAACTGTTTTCTTTAAGAACTTTTCTAGGCAACAGAGCCTTGTGGCCAGAATAGTAAGTAGATACTTAAAATATCACCTTGCCAAGCTCAACAGTTGGCCTTGGGGTATGCTAACAACCTTTAAGAAGAATACAATTTATTGCACAAATTCTTAGGCTGGGAAGAGTGGTTAGTATCAGGGGGTTGGCCGATTTGCTGGCCATTCATTAATGGTCAGTAGGTGTTTGAGGGGCAGCCTGTGTGAATAGAAAAAAAGAGGGAGACGGGTGCAGCCTGTGGCTAAGAAATGGGCCAAACTTTGAAATCTAATACCCTCTCTGGGTGGCTGTTTAGCCTTATAAAACCTTTGCTTCTTTAGGTGACACACATACTTTGGCCTACTCAGGAGTGGGCTATAACATCTCCCAGGTCGCTGTTTTCCCAAGGGCTGGTCCCTTTGGAAAGAGAACTGACTCTTCATAACAAGATGTACTAGCCCTGTGCTCCCCACTTCAGCAACGTGGGCCTGGCCTCAGCAATGTCTGCTCTTCCAACCATTCCTCTCTCTCTCACTCCTGGCGTCTGCCACTAATAAAAGGCAACCCTCTCATTTTGCAAATGAGGAGACTGAGGTCCAAAGAGAGAGCTAGCCAAAGCCAAGTGGAGAGTGGCCTAGCCAAGTAGAGCTAGGACCAGCCCAGCCTCCTGGCCCCACCCCAGGCTCTATCAGGACAGAAACAACCAGAGCTGGGGAGCATTTGCCTGTGTGGATCCCATTTGTCAAGCTAACTAGAGCAGCTCAGTCATCACCCATTTTTATTTTTAATAACAGTATTATACCAGACTCATCTCAGTGGCCCTTGGGCTCGGGTTCAACCTTAGGCAAAACCATGATATAAGCAAAACTAGTCTTATAACTATTCACGCCTTTCAGGTCAAGAAGAAAAAAAAACTGAGACATGCTTAGATATGCGACTGATATGCATTACTAACACGGCAGTATACGCAAAACCCATATCCATTTATTAAAAGAGGACCCCCCCACCCCCACCCCCAGGAGAAGAATCCCAAAAATAAGTCTCTGACAATAGCACCTTTGGTCTGTGATATCTGGACTCAGCTGACTTCCTTGGCTCCTTCAATAATAGTAGTAATAATAATGACAATAATTGACCTACCATGTGCTGAGCACCCACTATGTCCCAAGTGGTGTAAAGCACGCTTTATATATCATTTCATGTCCAGGTGAAGCAGGTCTTATTTTCTAGGGAAACAAATGAGGAAACTTAAAACTCAGAGTGGGTAATAACTCGGACAAGTTCACACAGTAAGTACCCGAGCAAGGGTCAAGTCTGTTCAAAACACTGAGTCTTTCTACCACATACACAAACCACATGGATTCCTCCTCCTGGACTGAGGCCTTATATGAACAAACGTCTAGAAATTACAGACGTGACAGGGCCTGCACACAGATCCAACGATGCACCAAGGAGAGAGGCACCGGCCCCCCCCAGGGCTGAGCACCTGACAGTTCCCTTCTATAATAACTACACCCCACCCCCCCAAAACTCCATCCCACTCCACCTGCCTGGGACCATCCATCTCCTTGTTAGTCATAGATGCTGGAGGCTGTGAGGAAAACATGCAGTTTGAGCACAGCCTGGCCCAGCCCTGGAATGGAGCCCGATGCCTGTGACATTCATCAACTGGTTAATTTCAGAAAGGCATCCATTTGCACCAGCTGCTTAAAAAGCTCTCGGCCCTCAGGAGATGCTCAGCCAATCACGGGCAAAGGCAGGGAGTTTTTCTGGGAACCGTACTCAACCGGGTGTCTGTGTGCTGCTCGTTTGGTTGTATAATTTCAGCGAGGCTCAGAAAGATGGAGAGTAGGCTTTAAATGATCTTATTTTTTTTACATTATTATTATACTGATGGCTCACATTTGTCCTTCATGCACATGTGCCCTGTGACCTTAAGAAGATGGTCATGATGAAAATGATTGCTGTTGCTCTTTAAATGGTGAGAGATGCCTGTTTCTGACAGATTCTCTCCAGGTGGCTAAATTGTGTGTGTGTGTGTTTGGAGAGAGGGGACAGGGAGAGTCGCCACAGGTCCAGGGTCTGTGTCTTAACTCTTGTCAGTTCAGGTTCAAGCCTCAAATGAGAAAATCCTTTCAGGAATGATTGATAAACCAAAATGCAAATGCATTTCACATAGAGAAGGAGCAATCCCTCACTAATTCCCAGAATTGTCAGGTTCCCTTAAGAGACCAAACACTTTGTGACCACAGATTTGGAATAAAGGGCACGAGATGTTCTCAGGGGACCATTCCACTGGCCTAGGACGGGGCTGGGGACCATGGTGGACCAGCCTCACCTCTACAGATAATACTTATCAAGGCCTCTCAATGTGCCAGACACTGGACAGGATCGATCTCAGCCTTTGCAAGACCTCTAGGAGAAGGGCACCAGTTATCATCCCCATTTTATTGGTGGTAAAGTAGAAGCTTAGAGGTCAAGTCTAGGTGCATTTAGCTGCAAAGCTGACAGCTCTCAACCACCCACTTTGTCCTATCCTCTAGGTTTGGGCTAAAGAGCTGGTGTTATCCGCCTGTACTCACACCACCTTCTCCCCTCTCTAGAACTGGAGATTGATTTTTACTTACATGTTCCTTTTTATGGTCTCTATGTAAGCCACCTGTCTGGATGCATTTGACAGTTTATATTTTTGTTTTACACTCAATGGTAAATTAGAAAAAGAATTAAAAATCAGGACAGGATATATATAGTAGAAAGAACTTGGAGGTGATGGTAGAAGGGTGGAGAGGGGAGGGGAGAACAGAAATATGCAGGTGTTGCATTCATTCATTCATTCAATGATAAATCTGTGCCGAATACCTACTGTGTGCAGCTACTGAGTGCTTAGAGCTGACAATAAAAAGGTGAACAGAACTAGGCTACGTCCTCAAGCTTTGCAGTGTGGAGGGGTAGGGGTGGGGGAAAAAGTGGGGGTTCAGGGCATTTGGAAGCAAAGGAAAAGGCGCAATCTGATCTTGCCAAAGTCTGGGGAGGAGTGGGGGGTACTGGGAAAACGGTACTTTTTTTTTTTTAAGATTTTTATTGGGGAATTGGGGGAAGGGGAACAGACAAGTTGCTGTCGTTTTGTTCTTCAGTCTAGTTGTGGAGGACATGGCTTCACTGGCCCAAGTTGGCACCATCATTGCGCTCTTCCTGGGCGAGGCAGATCAGTCGCTGGCTTCTGGACAGCCGCTCACGGTGGCTGCTGGCCGCTCATGCTGGCTGCTGGCTACACACAGTAGCCCATGGCAACCCACTGCAGCAGGGGCTGCAGCCTACGCCGTCGCCGGTGACTCACGGCACCCCAGCTCCAGGTTGAGCTGTTGTTCAGCATCTTAGCTGTAGAGGGCAGTGTCACTGGCCCTCATATGTGGGATCCGAACCGGGGCCCTCTGGCATCCCAAG